ATTAAGATGGTGTCATTAACACATCGTTATAAATATAATACAATACAAGAAATGTTTATTAAACTTAAAACCTATTTAATTTAGTATAGTAAAATATATTAGTAGTTTATTTTTATTATATTATATTATATTAAAATAACGTAATTCTTATTATTTTATATTTATCAACTAAATTTTATCCGATCAATGATTGGCATTGCAAATTGCAAAAAGCAAGGAGACATTGTTTAACTTTTGGCGAAGACAATATGTTATCGACAATTAAATACGTGGGACCCACCCCAGCAAGGGCATCAAAATTAGAGGCTGATTGCTAAAACCATCGTCAATTTCTCCTTAAAGACTTTTATCCACCATTTCCAGCACTTGTATCAGATATCCACAACACCCTCCTTTCCAAATTCCCTTTACTTCATCCGAAAACTTTAAGGTACGTACCACTTTCAATTCTATTCATCTTCTTTCTCTCTCTTGGTTGCACTGAAGATTGCCTTCACTACCTCTACTTCTCTTCTGATTTCTCCTGTGCAGGCTGTGTGATGCTGTGAAAGATTGTACCTTTTGCCTTCACTGCTTGTTCTTCTCTTCTGATTTCTCGTGTGCAGGCTGTGTGATACTGAATGCGCACCAGTCATGATTCCTCAAGTAATTTCTCCAATTCTGCCACTCAGATCTCTGCCTGTTCATTGCTAATTTCAAATTGTGTATTCATGTGTCTGTTTGTGATGCTGTTACCGATTCTACCTTTTCTGCTGCTACACTGAATTCGGAAATAAAAAATATATGAAAAAAACAAAGTTTCAAGAACACAGCGTTTAAAGATTCTACTTTGGTCGGAGGTTCAAGGAAACAGCCTGGTGCTAGTGGTGCACCAGGTGTGCTTCTAGTCTCCTAGTACTTAAATGGATAAGAGAAAAACTAAACCAAAGACAAGTTTCGTTACATTTTGATGCATTTTGGCCCTGCTTTACTGAACTATTTGCATTACAGCCGTCTCCAAGAAGTGAAAGCTATCAATATAACGAGAGCAAAGATAGATCTCCGATGAGGAAATCTGAAGTAGATTGTGTAGAAACTGAGCTTTCTGATGCCAAAAAAGCAGTACAAGATCTAGCTTTAAAGATCGAAGAAGCGAATTCGAGGGCCAAAGGGCTGCAGAGGAAACCAAAATGGCGCAAACAAGAAGAAGCAGAAACGTCCTTAAAGAACAAGGAGGATGCACAGTACGCAGAAGTGATGAGAGAACTTGAACATATGAAACAAGAATTGGGCAAACTTAAGCTCGATATGGCGCGAGTTTTGAAGGAGAAGAAACACGCGGAAAGAGCAACAAAAGCTTGGAATTCTAAAGCAGCCACATTTTCGGCCTCCATAGGATTGATCAAGAAAGAGATTCAAGAACTCGGCGAAGAACAAGCCCTCACTGAATTGGCTCGAATGGAAGCTGTTAAAGAATGCAAAGCCATTGAAGCTTGGAGGAAAGAAGATGCTGATCGGAGCCAAATTTTATTGTTGGAAGCTAAAAAGAAACCAGAAGAGAATGAAATGACAACAGAGCTTCAAGTAACACTTTCTGATATAAATTTGTTAGATGGTGAGCTGAATATGGCTAAGGAAATGGAAAAAATGGCAAGAAAGCAAGAAGGGTCTCCATTAAACACGATTACAGATGAATTGGAAGCGGCGAAAAGAGAACTTGCCTCCATTAAAGAAGAAGGGTTTAACTTCATGACCTCCATGGATGTGATTAGAGATGAACTCAAGCATGTTAGAGATGAAACAGCTCGATTACAGAAAGCAGAACAGAAACGAGAACTAACTGTTCAAAACCTCAACTCAAAGATTCTGAGAGCAAAAGCAAAACTAGAAGCTCTTACGGCTTCAGAAAGAAAATCAAACACAATTGCTTCGCATTTATCGGTCACTCTCCAACAATTAAGCGCAGAAGCCGAGATAACGAAGAAAGAGAAAGATGTTATAATGGAAGAAATCGGAAACATGAAGTTGGAAAGTCAGAAAACTGAATCTGAAATACAATTAGCAGAGGAAAGATTACAAGCTGCCATGGAGGAACTGAAAGCAGTGAAATCATCAGAATCTAAAGCTTTAGATGAACTAAGAAATCTGATCAACACTACAGAAGAAGCTAGAGGTATGGTTTCGATGAATAGTTCGATCATAAGAATCACCGATTTCGAATACGAGTACTTAAAGGGAACGGCTAGTGAAGCTGCAGAAGTTGCTGATAAAAAGATTGTAGCAGCTCAGGCGTGGGTGGAAGCTGTAAAGGCAAATGAAAGGGAGATATTGATGAAAGTAGAGATGGCAGAAAGAGAAATGAAAGAATCTAGTGTGGAGGCAGTGGAAGAGGAGGAGGAGGTGGAGGTAGGAAGACGGGGAAAAAGCTGGGAAAAAGCGGTGGCATCTCCTCGGAGATCGGTGGTGTATAGAGTTGGGAACATGGGGTCTGCCAAACGACCAAAATCACAAAAGTTACGATCTCCGGCAGCCCGGTATACGAGTAAGTCGAGGAGAGGAAAAATGATGCCGAAACTCAGAAAGTTGTTTAGCAACAAGAACATCGAAATGGATGATTGAATGGTTGGATGGATGATGGATGTTTTTCTTGACATTGTGTATGATGAATAAAGATGAGTGTGTGTAGATGTAGGGTTAAAGAGTTCATATGGAGCTTTCTTTATGAAAGTATGATCAAGCTTATTGTGGGAATAAACTCATTAGAATGAACTTTCCAAAAGATGAAGGTCGGTTATATCATATATTGAAGAGAAAGTATTTTAAGTATTTAGGTTTAGCTATTGTGAAACTTTAACACCGTGGTTTTCAACAGATATTAAAGTCTCAGCCTGTCAGAGCTCAAATAAAGATGTTAAACTGGAGAACCGATTCTTATATCATGTAAGAATATATAAAACGTTGTTATATTACTAACCAAGAGTCATTTGAGAAGAGAACGAATTCTCTTACTCTCTTAACATATATCGATGAGAAAATATTTAAGTCTAACTGATATGTGAGAAAACATTCTTTCACACGCTCTAATACTATAACAATGGTGGTGCACCAGGGCACTTTGGCTGTTCCCATGGCTCAAATAATCATGACAAATAGTGCTAAAAGGTTGTTTACCAAACACTTATCGAATAAGCACTTATCTTACCGGGTAAGGGTGAGCATCACAAGGACCAAAAATCTTATACGGTGAAGAAGAAACAGTCTAAGGGTTTAAATTGCAAAATCCTTTCTAGCATGAAGAAGAAACAGTCTAATGGGCTGTTTACTAATCTCTTACCACCTCTTACCCGTTAAGAGATGCTTATCCGGGTAAGAGGTAAAAGTGTTTACCTAACAGTAAAATCAGCAATCAGATTTCTGGCCTCTGACTGTCCTCTTACCGGAGTAAGCAAAAAAATTGAATCTTACCAGGGTAAGAGGGATGTATTCCTTATCTACCCTTTTCATCTAAAACCCTAAATGGATGCGTTTTTCTTCATACAAACAGAGTTTTGGGCATGTTCGATTCAAGGTAATGAAGAAAACTTCATACAAACAGGCGTCCATGTCCGATTACTTTGAAGAAACAAAAACTTCTACCCTCTCTATTAGTTTTTATCTATTGTCGGTGGCCATGTCAAGGGGTTGGACGGTGACGGGAGGGCGAGCGGCGGCCGGTCGGGGGTGGCAGAGAGAATCAGTGGAACTAGGGTTTTGGGCAAAGAGAAATAGGTAGGGAAGAGGAACGCCGACACCATTGGTGGCCATGTCCGGTTCAAGGTGTTGGAGGGTGACGGGAGGACGGCGACGGGAGGGCGGCGACGGAAAGGAGGCAACGGGAGGGCGGCGACGGGAAGGTGGCGACGGGACGGCGGCGACGGAAAGAAATAGGGTTTTGAGTGGAAATACATATAGATGAAATATAATTGGGCTTAAATGGTTGACATGGGCCTGTGTCTTTTTAATCTTATTCAAATATAATTGGGTTTAAATAATACAATAATTTTAAATTAATATTTATTCCAGAAAAAAAAGAGGATATATACTTAATACAAAATGTTTGGTAAACAAGAAAAATACAATATGCACTTATTCCAGTCAGACCTCTTACCCGAATCAACACTTAACCAAAAAAATTGGTAAACGACCCCTAAGTCTTTTAGTTCCCTTTAGAGGTCGAACTTATAATCACACTTGCTCATTGACCCTTTTTGGAATTATTTCCTTTTGGAGTTTGAACTTGTTCMCAACCTTTTTAGGGTGCATTTGATATCCATATAAGGATAGTACAAGACATTTAGGGTGCGTTCAATATCCAGGTAATGATGGTACAAGACAATTGGTCAACATAAGAACCGGAGTTCCATCTCTTTTCCATTTTTATTCAAGAGTTCTTATATGTTTCAACTAGGGGTGAGCAGCGGAACCGGGTACCCGGCTATGGAACCGGAATCGCCTTGGAACCGCTGGTTTCGGAATCGGAACCGATATGAGTGGTTCCAGTTCCTAAAATACGGAACCGATTGAGAATGTTCCGGTTTCGGTTCTCAATTTTTTGGAACTGTTACCCGCCGGGTACCCGGTATTTTTCAACAAAAAAATAATTATTATTTTTTAATACCAAATTTATATTAGGTTTACATCTTGAAAGCACGCCGTCATCTTCATTCTTCATCTAAATTCTTCATATAAAATGATTCGTATTTTTTCAAATTGTGTGTTTACTTGGATTCGTAGTATGTAATCGTTAAACTTTGAACATTTACTATTATAGTATGTAATCGTTAAATTTTGAATATTTTCTATCAGTCTATTATGGTTTTTAATCGTTAAATAATATTTGTAACCATTATTCTGTATAATTTGTATTCTTGCTTATCTATTTAGTGTTTTGACAATGTTTTATTTTTTAATTCTAAATAACAAAATTTTAATATTTTAGGAAGCGGGTACCCAGAACCGGAACCGCTCTAACCGGTTCCGGTTCCAATATCTCAAGAACCGCCGGTTCCGGTTTCTGTCAAAAGGGTGGATACGCGCCTATGCTCACCCCTAGTTTCAACGCTTCTTGGAAACCTGAAAAATGGACAAATTCTTTTTCTTAGGAACACATGCAGGGTTCATCACTACAAAAAGAATTTGGTAACACAGAACAAGATTGGTAAAATGAACAATTTACTCCTAATGAGTTATTTATTTCTATTATATATTTTGATTAATTTATATAATTTATTAAATTATAATAAAATATATCATTAAAAGTTTTTATGAAAACGATTAAAATAATATTAAAATATGAAGTTTATTTAATTTCCAAATTTTATTATATACGTTTTCTATATTATGTTTTTATCAATAATATTTAATAAAATACATAAATGGACTAATATATAAAAATAAAAAATAATATTTTAAAAACAGTAAAATAAACCTTAAAAAAGGATAAAATGTGATAAAATAAAATTTAAACAATAGATAAAAAGTAAAAAAGAGTGAGGTATTTAATGTTTTAAAAAAAATTAAATATATAGTATTTAATGTTTTTAAAAAAATTAAATATATTGATAAAAACAACTCCCTTCGTTATCAAACATTTACCCGATAAGTGCTTATCGGTAAAATTTAACACTATTATTTACTTGTCGGGTAAGAATTTAGTTCATCAAAACATCGTATGCAACAGTTTACCCGGTAAGTGTTTAGTGTGGTAAGAGTCGTCGCCCTCACTTACCGGGTAAGACTCTTGGTCATTGCTTTATTCTTATCGGATAAGATTCTTGATCCTTATCATATTCATCTGATAAGATAAATGACTTGATAAACACTTACCAAGTAAGCATTTTCGAATTTATATGATTTTAATCGATAACATAATTTTTTATTTTAAAATTTACAGGGGAGTAAAGAGACCAGTTGGGCGCTTCCTATCATGGCCTTCTATGTCTTAAAACCGCCGTTGAGCGTGTCAACGTGGCATCACCAACGAAATACACCTTCCCTCTGTAACTCCCTTTTCTCCAATACTGCCATTGTTAAAACCTTCCCAGATTCCTCTCACGGAAATCACTAAGACATGATGATATTCAGTACGTCTATCTTCCTCATCCTTGTTTTTCGTCATTATCTATCGTTCTGCTTTTTTATCTTCCGTAGCACAACTAACAGTGACTTAGAAGTTTCTATGTCGCTCTTATCCCTCTACATTTTATTTGTGAATTTGAATTGTTATTTCGTTTAATGCTGAGTAAATATACGTTTCTTCCTTTAATTCATATGTTTCTGTATCATGATCGATGAATACTTGAAAATTTCTTCCAGAATTTGAGATGCCTAAATTCAATTTCAGGATTTCCATGAAATTTGCCATGTGGGTTTAATGGGTTTAGGGATTGAAATACCACATGCTTTTAGGTTTTCATGCTATTTGTTTCCTGGGCGTGTTTGTATTCTGATCATGGCTAACATATTAATGTACATAGACACATTTTATCGTTGCTGCTAGGTTTTGGGGAATGGAAATTGCAATTGAAGTTGGAAATCGTGTAAAAAATCAGCGTAAAATCACACAGTTTTTCTAATATTTTGAAAATTTGATGTTTACAGAAGAAATTCCCCGTCCTTTTCATTTTCATTTCCATTCCTATTTTCATTCATCTGCATGAACCAAACAGCCCCTTATTCTGTCTTACAATTTTTTTTCACACGGATTGAGTATGTTGTTTATATTCTTTTGTATACCTTTCTTCAGACTAGTATGATGGATTCACAGCAAGCTACACATACTGTAAGGTCTCATGGACTAGTGGTGGCAAGGACTCACATGCATGATTGGTTGATTCTTTCACTACTAGTAGCAATTTTTATCATTCTAAACCTTATCCATCCTTTCCATCGTTTTGTTGGAAAAGACATGATGGACGATCTCAAGTATCCGATGAAGGATAGCACCATCCCATTTTGGACCGTTCCAGTGAGTTTAACTTTTCATCTTTCTACAAACATTGTCAAACTAACAAATGGTGGTTTCTCTTATTTCATGTTTGTTTGATTAGTTATATGCAGTTTTCTTGCCAATGGCTGTCTTTCTGGCCTTCTATTTTCGTAGAAGAGATGTTTATGATCTTCATCATGCCGTACTAGGTGATCATATGTTTTAGCTTGTCGTGATGCTCAATTGAACGAATCAGAATAATTTGATCTTGTTTTCTTTTTCATTTCACAGGGCTTTTGTTCTCTGTTTTTATAACTGGGGTTTTAACACAAGTTATAAAAGATGCAGTTGGTCGACCTCGCCCAGACTTTTTCTGGCGTTGTTTTCCTGATGGAATAGATGTATGCTGGTTTAGGATTTGATCGCTCAGTTTCTTGTTCTTTCCTCTTTTTGCCAATGTTTTTATGCTGTTAATCATCATCTCTCAGCTATATGATCGATGGGGAGATGTTTTATGTCATGGTGACATCGATGTCGTAAGACAAGGCTACAAGAGTTTCCCAAGTGGGCATACGTCATGTGAGCAAATGATGCCTCTCTATACTCCAATCACTTATCTTCTTTAAGTAATTGTTTGCCAATTCATTCAAGATTCACAATCCCAAATGAGTTATCATCTACTAGAGGTTGTAGAACACAAATCTTTTGTGATTTTATTGCAGGGTCTTTCGCTGGTCTGGGTTTTTTGTCTCTCTATTTATCTGGAAAAATAAAAGCATTTGATCGTCAAGGCCATGCTGCAAAGCTGTGTGTGGTTTTTCTGCCGTTACTTGTTGCATCTCTTGCTGCTATTTCTAGAGTGGATAACTATCGGCACCACTGGGAGGATGTATTTGCTGGAGCTCTTATAGGTGCATTCTGATATAGTTGTTTTTTTAATATCTATATTCGGCAAAGCTCAACAGAGACTCTTTATCTTTGGTGAGGCTTGAACCCTCGACTTCCAAGAAGGCTGGGATCTATCGGTAACCCGGATGCGGCAGGGTCAATGACCCTTTGTTGAAAACTATATTTCTAGTTGGTCTTAGGAAGCTCCTATTATGATGTATTGCAGGTATCACCGTGACTATTTTTTGCTACTTGCAGTTTTTTGCACCCCCATATCATAGTGAAGGTATAAATATTGGTGAACGTAATTTTTTTAATCCTAATTGCTTCTTCTTCACTCGCATGTTGACACCATTAACATGTGGTTGTAAAGGTTGGGGACCTTATGCATTTTTCCGGGCTTTAGAGGAGTCGTGTGCAAACACTAGCCGAGTTTCTGGACCTCCTGCGACCAACAACACAATGGGTGAGGTAGAAATTCAGCAACACGAGAGGAACAACAATTCGGCAGACGATCTTGAATCTGGTACTAGGTTTTAATTAGTCATGTAATGTTTATTAGTAATGCTAGAAAAGTAGGTTGATTTGTTTATATGTTTTGTAATCTTGTAATCTATGTGTATCTTGTTCAAAACCCAAGTGTATAGAATGCAGATTATTTTTTGTCTCGACTAAGGAACCGTTTACCAAACACTTATCCGGTAAACGTTTATCAGTAAAATTTAACATTCTCACTTACTTATCGGGTAAAAAATTTAGTCCATCAAAAAGGCAATGAATGCAACAATTTATACGGTAAGCGCTTACCATGGTAAGAGTGTCGTTTTTACTTACCGGATAAGACTCTTGATCCTTGTACCACTTTTATCATGTAAGATTCTCGATTCTTTAACATATTCATCCAGTAAGCTAATGTAACTTAGATAATATAAGTACTTACCGTGTTTAGTGAATAGCCCCCAAGTTATAGTAATTAATTTACTTCAAATAAAGCCACAAATTGTGATTCCAAATAAATTGTTTTGGGAGAGGGCGAGATCCACAAACAATGGGGGTTAAAAAAGAAAAAAGAAAATCTATTTTCGCAAATCAAGTGAACAGGGAAGGGCATTCCAGTCTTTTGACACCAAAACCCTAAATCTTCTCCTCTCCTATAACTATAACAATAATGCTTCTTCTCGCCGTTCCAAATCTTCACTCCCCCAAACCCTACACCGCCGTGGGAGAAATCAGAAATGAAGTACAATCCACGAGTCACCAGCTCTCGTCGGAAATGCCGGAAGGCGCATTTCACCGCGCCGTCCAGCGTGCGCCGTGTGTTGATGAGCGCACCTCTGTCCACAGAACTTCGCAGCAAGTACAACGTCCGGTCAGTCCCCGTTCGAAAAGACGATGAGGTGCAGGTAGTTCGTGGAACGTACAAGGGCCGTGAAGGTAAGGTTGTTCAGGTGTACCGTCGCAAGTGGGTTATCCATGTGGAGAGGATCACTCGTGAGAAGGTCAATGGGCAGACTGTCAATGTAGGAATCAACGCTTCTAAGGTTGTGGTCACCAAGTTGAAGCTTGATAAGGACCGGAAGTCGTTGCTTGAACGAAAGGCCAAGGGCCGTGCTGCTGATAAGTCAAAAGGAAAGTTCACCGTTGATGACGTGGCTGCCGGTGCCTCTCTCCAAGAGATCGATTAGGTTTTCATTTCCTTGTTTATCTATCTTTTAAATTTTCCTTTTTAATGTGTCATGCTATAATGAGGATTGTTTTTGAGAGTTCCTGTTGTTGATCTTACAGCGTTTATCAGCTTAATGTGTTAAACCGTACTTTATTTATGAATCTGTTCTATTCAATTGTAGGTGGTAGTGTGATACAATATACTTATATCGTTCTCTCTTGATTTGGTTCGACGGCGTGCTAATAGGCATTTAAGTTTATAGTTCTAAGTGTAGATTATAGTGTTATAATGTTCTTCCAGATGCTTCAACCTGTGGTTTTTATTGGTTCTGTGCTAGCAAGATGACTGCTTTATGCCCAGATATGCTATTCTATGAAATTGTATCAGAAATGCAGAAAACTATACATATATATATAGAGAGAGAGCGTGGCAAAGGGAATCTGGCTGGTTGTATCTGTTGCCATGGTTAAAAACCTGAATCTGTTGTCTATATAAGTAGCGGTAGCAGTTGCAAGATTGTCCATGGATGATGCTTCTGGACCTAGTGATGGTTCAGGTTATGCCTTAAAATTCCAATTTCAGCAAAACAGGAATCGGATTGGAAGTCATTAGGATTGGAATTGGAGCACGATTAGTTTGAATATGTCGAAATGAATCCAGATCCCAGTATATGCTTTTGGACTTATTTAGAAATATAACAGGATATGACTATAGTGAATTCTGTCAATCAGATTTGTTAGAAGGTTCACTCACTTCATTGAAGGGTTTGTATATTAGATATTGTTGCAATCTTTCCGGAGCTGAATGAAAGTAAGTTATGAGTCATGGTATTATTGTTTATGCCTAAACCAACTGTGAGGCTTTTGGTACTTGTTTTTAGATGTTCTCTTAGTTTGAAACCTTGCTCAAGGGATTTGGTGGAAGAACTTGAGCAAGCTAGCCAAGAGATTTCAAAACAGAGTTTTCTAAGGAGCGGTCGAGATGTTGGGTAACCCTATAGATTTTTAGTGGCCAATTTTGGGATAGGCACTTCAACAAACATCAACCATTGGTCTTTGGGGCACTTGCTGTTTCCAAGTAAACTTGCATGAATTGAGCAGGCGGGGCAGTGTGGTCTGCATCAGGGGTTGCTAGTTAAAGAAGTTTTGCAACCTGTGGCGTTACAGCCCTCATGTTGCTGATTCTAAATGATTGAAGGGTGGTGCCTGATTGGTTGGAGCTTGACTCCAAAGGTCAAAAGTACCAGGAGGTCCTAGGTTCAAATCCAAGGAGGAATAAAAATCTCCTTGTGGCCACGGAGGTTCAAATGCGGTGACTCCGGGCTATCTGCAAAACAGGGAGTCGCCCTGGGATTAGTCGGCTCGCATAGTGGGTTGGATATCCAGGTTAATCAAAAAAAAAATGATTGAAGGGTGCTTTCATATAACTCTTAGGTATGGATATGTCTTCTGATCAGCTAGCCCCCAAAGTCGTGTGTGATGGTCTGCAGTAATGGTGCTCATTCCTTGAATGTATTGGAAGCTGTGGTCTGTTGATATGAATCACTTGATATGTTTCTTGTTTTAACATAAAGTGCCCTTGTCTAAGGACTGGTAGGTCTGCTGATATGTTGACAGGTTTTTTGTACAATGTTCTCGTTATGAATGCATGCTCATATGGTATCATGTATTATTTCATGACAATTGATTGGTTTAATCTGCTTATCAATAGATCCTTATGAATCTGATTTGGGTTCTTTTTAGTGATTAATATTTGTTTTCACATTGTTGTTTTGAAGTCTTTATAGGAAACCCACTGGTGTTATATGTGATTATGTTTCAGTTGTATGTTTCATAATATATTTGCCATTCATCGTTAGTTGTAATATTTGTATCTGTGTACATGATTCAGAGCAGTTTTATTTGATGAATTTGCAAGATTTGGATATTGGGTACATATTATGATTAAACTAATTGTTGGGTTGACAACTTGACAATCATGTTGAAACTCAAATGTTTTGGGGTCTTTGCTCAGTTTTGAGTGTTTTGCATTGGGTTTTTTTTGGGATCAATTTTCGCTCTTGTGGCTTGCTTTTAAGATTTTATCGCATCTCATGGTTTTCAAGGAGGCACAGTAAATACTTTTAAATGGCTTCATACAAGTCTTATTTCTTTCTAGTAAACCATAAAGTATTTTTTGCTGTATTTTTAGTTCTCTCCTGGTAATTGGGGTGAATCCGAAAAGGGTGACTTTCTTTTCTCTGTTAATATTTATATATGGAAGATATTTCCTGCATGTTTTTCGTTCTTGTTTAGGTTTAAAACCTTGGACTTTTTGAGAGGCGAAACTTTACTCTACTCTACTCTACTAGTAACGTAGGCCAATGACCCTTTGATGTTGAATACAGTAAAGTATTTGTAGGCAAATATGCATGGTTTATGTTTTGATGGCATACAATGCGGTTGGAGTGGTCTGTACATTGTTGTTATCTATACAGATAATACACAGTTAGACACCAAAAAAAATAACAAAAATGAATTGGGCACAATTAATTTAGTATATGAGGGGTCCAGCATGTAAACCAATAATAGTCTTGGTTTCACCGGGAAGCAGTTTTGGATTTTAGCCTAATTCTGTGTGTGTGAAATGGGCACTAATAAACCTTTAATTATGTTATGATCATGTGAGATGCGTTTTATGGTTGAGAAGGAAGTTGTGTATATGTATATTAAAGGAATGGAATGGGGAATGGGGAATGGGGAATGAAATTAGTTAAAGGTGTAATAAGGAAGCAAGGGGTGATTAAGAGAAGCCAACAGCTGATGAAATACTTGGAGGTGACGCTATTTCAACAAACACTTGAGTCTGGTGTCAATTTTTATTCAATTTATAACTAATTTCATTCTCATATCTAATAGCGACCCACCCTCTCTCTAACACCAAACCCTAACTATTCCTATTTCTTTCACTCTTTCTATTCTGCAATCATTTCTTGTTTTTTCTAACTC